GCTGTTTGTTAATTTCAGCTCAGCATTCAACACAATCTCCTCCCATTAAACTGATTGGCAAATTTAGCAGTTTGGGCTTGAGTACCACACACTGCAACTGGATATTGGACTTTCTCACAAAAAGACCCCAGACAGTTTGGATTGGCAGACACACCTCCTCCACGCCTAAACACTGGGGCACCCCAGGGCTGTGTGCGCAACCCCCTGTTCACGCTGTACACCTACAACTGCAAACCCCAACGTGGAGAGAACTGTTGTGAAGTTTGCGGATGGCACCACCATCATTGGCCAGATTTCAAACAACGATGAGATTTCATATTGGGGGGAAGTTCATAATCTTGCTGAGTGATGCACAGAGAACAACCTACTGCTTAACGTCAGCAAAACCAAGCCGCTGATTGTTGATTTTTGGAAAAAGGAGGAACAGATAAGCCCTCCTGTCTACATCAGTGGAGCTCAGGTAGAGCAGATGAATAATTTTAGGTTTCTGGGAATCAGCATCACACAGAACCGGTTATGGTCATCTCACATCTTCACAGTGGTAATGAAAGCTCACAAATGGCTGTACTTCTTAAGGAAACTTAAGGCAGGCCACTGCATGTGAATAGGGTAAAAAAAAAAATAGATTTCCTTAAATTTCCTAGTTGAGTACTTACATTAAGACAATATTTTTTTGTATTACAGGTTTTCTGAAATATTATGTTTAGATATGCAAATCAGGTAGTATTAAATTAAATATTGAAATTTCACCCACAGAAAGCTAAGTGTCACGTGACTCATCTAAACCAATTACATTGTCAGAAACTGAAACTAGCCAATCAGATTTCATGCTTAGCTTAAATCCGCCTATGTACTTTCACAATTGGTTGCTTGTACAAAGGAAATAACCATATTATATATTATATATTGGATCTGACTTTGACTGACTCCTTTGTGCAGGAGAGAGAGCTTTCCAACAGTACCGGGGATCATATGTTGCAGGCAGTGACAGCAGCAGGAGGTGTTGAGGTTGAATGCTAACCTTTAGGAGAAGTCTACAGACACACAGAGACAAACTGTAGTAAAACAAACAACTAAATGTATATTTCGGACTTTTTTCCCCCACTAGTCTGAAAGAAGACATGTTAAGGAAGTAGCCCAAAAAAATGTCTTGCCTTAAGAAGGCAAAATTCCTGTGCTAAGTTCTAAGACAGAGGAGCAATAGAAAGCACTCTGATTGGAAACATCACAAACTGATGTGCACGGCCCAGGAGAGGAGGGCTCTGCAGTGGTCAGCTATGCACGTTTGTAGATGATAAATATTTATTGGTCCTTTCGGAAATTCATAGTGTGTCATACAGCAAACATCAGACCAACAACCAGACAGCAGCTTACTTTGGCTAGCCTTCAACTCAACAATCATGATTTCAGGTAAATGCTGAAGTTGCTGTTACTATTACCTTGTCTGTGGTCCGTTGGCAGAACACGGGGGCTTTCTGATCAGGTGCTGTCATGCTGTTGCCGAGGCAACACAAGTTTCGTTGCCACCAGCAACATTACAGAGTTGTTGTTTTCTTTAGCTTGACTTTGGAAAATTTCTTCTTTGTCCCTCACTCCACTTTGCAAACAGCACCATCATAATCATGTTTTGTTCACAGCGGAAGCGCGATGTGCCACAGTAATAAATGTCCGTGTGCTGTATAGTTATATGGATTAAACGAAGCATCGATGCAAAGAATTTGCGTCGATGCATTTTATTAATCGATTTAATCGATGAATCATTTCACCCCTATATGCAATTAGCCTGATAAGATAAGTATTGCTAAGTTTAATCCTTTGAGTAATACTTATGACCCATAGAATAATAATCCACTGACACTTGTTGCCTTGGCGGACAGCAACACATCAGTGGGCTGAATGGAGATGATGTGCACACAGCTCCGTACAGGTTGATTGGCTCACCTTAATCATCGAGACGGAACCCAAAATGCTCCAAAACAGGGGCAGAGGCATTTGACTTTGTTACCAGTAGTAGTAGTAGTCAAAGATTCGATGCTTTAATGGGCAGAGACTGATTTTACTGTCAATCTCACAGTCGAAGCTTCGCAGCGAAATAAGGATCATGTCATTTTGGCGATATGGGGGTGCTCATCGTCATATTTTACATAGAAATACCAGTTTTTACAATATACATTTCAATGTTTAATGCTGTAAATAAACATGTAAAAAGAATAAAACTTTTAATAAATGTTTTTGAAGTGCGTGAATTAATCCAAAATTGTAACTCTAAACCTGGGTCATCAGTGCGCTGTTCACTGTTCAGACCCAGAGGTCCCTACTTGAGTAGTAACAAAGTTGCTGTGGTTATCTTTGTAACCAACCAAGTGTAAATTGCAATAGAAAGTGCTGTTGATGGAGAATACTGTGCAGATGATAAAAGAAAATCAAGTTACTAAATCATTTTAAATATTGTCTTGATTTTGCCAGAATCGGTAAGATTTTCTCTTACAATAGTTGTTCTCTGGGAAACATGACAACATTTGACACAGTTGTCAATATATTTTATGAATGACTATACAAACCTTCACTTTAAATGAACCCTTTTGAATGTTTTACACTGTCAGTCAACCTTCAACCAAAAATTTCACTGTTGTATTTGGTGAAGTGTGTTCGTTTTCACATAAGATACTTTGAAAAGGAATTGTAAAGCCACAGATTACAAAAAAAGGTAATTTTTATATGCTGAAAGCGTCCACTTTCTCCCTCAACTTTCTTGCAGACAAGTGTGTGACAAATTCTCATTAAATCCTTGCTTTGTTTGTGTTTCCTGCCAAGGATAGTCACCTTGACTGCACAATCAGCATTCCAGTGCTGCTGGGAAATATCTTGTTCTGTCTTAGTTTTATATATAGGTGAAATCACTGTGGGTTTTTTGCATTTGTGTACAAAGTAAGCCTTATATTGTTAGCCTCATGTTGTATAATGTGTGTGTCTCTGTACATCTTTCAATACGTAGGTACAATTTGAAATGATCATATCTACCGGAGCACACAGGAAAAGATACACTTAACCATGTTTTCCTCATCTATTTAACCATTAACACCACAGAGAGACTGTTAAACCACCTCTAACCCTGAGAAAAGAAACATATCCATACATCAGTGTTTGATGCCCTGCTACTGAACCCTTCCTTTCTTTTGCAACTTTATTCTTGCTCTTAAGTCCTTTTTAAAATACCTCCCACAGAAACCAGTTGCTGTTCAGCTGCTTAAACACTTAAGGGAAAGTTCGGTATTTTGCAACTTTGACCATATTTTTCCATGTTTTTGTGTCTATGTGAATAAATGTGATGACATTTTTTGAAAGTAGTCTAGTATTTAACGAATATAACATAATCCTTGAGGGCAATTGCGCCCCGTCAAAGTACGTCCACTAAAGTGCTTGTTTTTTGCCACTGACAGGCTCAGATTGTATCAGAAGTGTCTGACAACATAGAAAGATACCTTTTACAAGAGTCGCTATATTGCACTCATCAAAGCCACCAGCCTCCCTTGAAAAAACAACTACATAATTTCTCCTCTCTGGTCTACTGGTGCCTCGATTAGTTAGTTTGTTTTCGTAATTGCGTGACTTTGGTGTTTGTAACCCTCTAAAACACCAAACAAACAAAAACCCAAAAGTCACATAGTAATATAAACAAACTAAACAAAAAGGTATATCTCTGTTTAAAGATCATTTCCATGATGTTGTCAGACACTTATAACATTCTGAGCCTGTTAGTGGTATACTGGACCAATTTTAAAATACATGTTGTCCCAAATAGTCACATAGACACACAAACATGGGAAAATAGGGTCCGGGTTGAAAAATACTCAAGTCAAACCCACGAAGATGGAACTACACACCTTTGTGTGTAGCAATCTTCTGCCCTTGCTGTTTATTTAAATGGAAGTTCACCCAATGAATGATATTATCCAGACTTTTTTTGCAGAGTAATGTGTGAAACTGACCAGGCATTGCGAGTAGATCAATTGCTGTTTACATGCCAGAATTGTGCTGGGTAGATAAAATGCAGCTCTTGGACAGGATCCAAGGAGGTTGCTGAACACAAATTTGTCATTACTGTACTCTAGTGTATACAAATGTTCATTAATAAATAAATTCAGAGCCATATGGTGTAATTTACTGGGTATCAGGTCTGATGTTTTTATAGGCCTTCAATTTGAAGCAGATGTTAACACAAGAGTCACATCTAAAACTTTTTGCTTTGAAGAACTAACCACAGAAATAGCATTTGTCCTGCTCAAGGTTGCACATAACATATTTTGAAATGTTCAGATAAAGTTAAGCATTTTTTTTACTGTACCCTCTACCAGCGAGTGTTATCTAATGGGGTGGGGGTGTGTGGGGGGGGTTCTGTTCGTAACCAGGAAGCGTCCTATTTCCTATGAAAGAATTGTGGGATGCAAAGTCTTCCTGTGCTTGGAAGCCGAGTGACAAGCTACTTTTGTCGTTGGAAATGAAAGCCCTAATAAAATTAATATCTCACTGCCAGAAGGAATTCTACTTGCCTGGCTGCCATTTTCATCAAATGCTGAGGCAACAATGTTCTCAATGTAAATATTGTATATTTTTTTATTTGCTCAAACTTTTATTGTGTTTTTGAGGTGAGATCTTAGAAACTCAATTGTTCCTTTGTGGTGTCGAAGCTCTTTAGCACTTTGGTATCTGACACCTAATCTGACGAGATATTTGTAATCCTCTGCCATGGCCATTTTCTTCTCTTTCTTCTGCTATGTTTATTTACTGTTTCTCTCTTATGTATTGTCACATTCTCCATTTGTGGCCCAGTGTCGTGTCATTTGTGTCACTTATGTTTGTATCGTAAAGGATTATCTCCCCCTCTCATCTTGACTTTCGTACTCTTCTTCTCCTCCCTGCTCTCTTTTTGTCTCCTATTCTCTCTATCCGCTCCTCCCTCCATCACCAACCCACCCTCCTCCCTCTCTCCCTCTCTGTAGCCTGTAATGATCTGGAGGCCTCAGGCAGAGACAGGAAGCCCAATGCTTTGGTCCAGGTGGCTGTCATAGATCCCCACAAGCAGCACCTCATCTCTCATGCCTGTACAGAGATAGTGGAGGTAAGGCCATACACACACACAAACACACACACACACACACACACGGACTATTCTTTCTCTGCATCTCTCTGACCTTTGATGTTGTTTTGCTGTGTCTCTGGGTCACTGGGTCTTGGTTGGTGTTCTCTCCATCTCTGTCTGCCCTCCTTTTTCTCAGTCTTTTTTTCCCATCTGACTCATCAAACTGGAACGGGCAATGAGCTTTAACCTTCCTGTGACAGGCCTAACATCGAATTTGTATGTGGCTCTCAATTTGTACAGTACATGTTTGTGGGGGTGGTTGTTGCAGTTTCAAACAGTGCGTGTTTTTGTCATAGATATAAAATGGATTTTTAAATCTGTGGTTTTTGTGCTACTTGACTTCTTTAAATGCTTTTTTATTACCTCCATTGTGACAGTGCTGTTGCTAAAGCAACAGCCACACAAGTGTTTTTTGGGCGGCAACAGCTGCCCCCTGTCCCACTATGGAACACCCACTTACACACATGTATGTACACACACACACACACTTTTTTTCTTTCCTCATATGTGGCCAGAGTTTCCTCACAGACATTATTTTCCTTCTAATCCTGTAAAGCTAAATTAGCATAACCGTCTCTTTGAAAGACTGCATTTCAACTGCTTTTCCCCTCAGTCCTGTCAAGGGAACAGTAGTGTGTGTGTGTGTGTGTGTGTGTGTGTGAGTGAGTGTAGGAATACAGGATGTGGTAGGATACTGTATGCTGGCTCAGCCAGCTCTGCAGACACTCTGAGTGCCACTGGAGTTTTGATTTCATGGCTGTAATGTTCAGGATTGGGAGCTAAGGAAATGGACTGCTTTCGACTTCACAAAAAGAGGGTATGTGCACATTCTGTGTGATTTTTACAAGTCCGTTTTAAAAGAGAGTTTTCCAACCTCATAAAACGTGTTTAAGATTGTCTGAGGAGTTTTCTCTGCCATATTTTCATTTTATTAGTTTGGACAGTGTAATAAAATTGATGATCCCTACTATTACATATATACCTGTATATTTAACAAAGAAATTAGATCAGTTCAGGAATATTAGTGATATTAGTGTTATTTTGCAAAAGCAGCACAACATTGAGAAAAATCCAGTGTGACAGTGTCTTTGAATAAAGTGTTGCAGTGATTTTTAGATGAACAGAGGTTTCTTGTCAGAGCTGTGGTAACTAGTAGGGTTCCCCATTCATACATTACCATCCAACATGCACAACAGCAGATGTTCAGTAACCTGTGTGGCCAAAAGAAGGATTTGTGTGTGTGTGTTTGTGTGTTTGTGTGTATGTGTGTGTGTGTGTGTGTGTGTGTACTGGGGAGCTCAACTAAATGTGCAGTAGGAATCAGAAGGCAGCCCCACTGCCACTTGTGTTTCTCCTGTTTGTCACATTCTTGGGATGCCTGCTCTCAACAGCTGCTGCTGGCTTTGCTGGACACTGATTGGTGTTTTGGCTGCATGAAAGCTTCAGCATGAGTCCTACTCATGTGATAGGCGTATTATCAGGATTACAATCAGGAATTTGATATAAGGGTTTAATTTAGAAGATAAATGATGGAACATGCCAGATGCTACATAGCCCTCTCTAGTCTTACTCATGAATTACTAAACAGTGGTCAGATAAAAAGAACAGGATAGCATTTTATCACTTCACCACACTTTAGCTCTTCAGGTGTAATATATTTTATAAACAATGCCAAATGAAGGTAACAGCAGTGTTTAGACTGCCTGCAAATATATCATAAATTACAAACTGCTACTCTACCAAAACAAAAAAGGTTTTTATATTTAATATATGGCGTCTGCTAACAGATTCGCACAATGCACGCAGCAGATGCTACGTGTTATGTAGGCAGGTTATAGGTAACGGAGTGAGGGAATAACAGCACGCTCATCAGAAGTTTCCTAAAAAATAAACATTGTTCACGAGTCCCGCACCTTGAGTCCAAATCGAGTCTGAAGTCTTTTGAGGGCAAGTCTGAAGTCGAGTCTGAAGTCACTGTGTGTGCGACTTAAGTCCTACTCGAGTCCGAGTCTCTAACTCGAGTCCCCATCTCTGACAAGAAGTCAACTTCCTTTATCCAGTCAGTAGTGCTGCTTGTGATAATTTGGGTTACAATTCATTGCATTTGGGTAGTTTCCCCATGGGAAAAGTTAGGCTGTATTCTATTGAACTGTCCCCTCCTCTCCTCTGAGCACTGAGTCCAGTAGGTTTGACATACAATGACTGATGATGACCAAACCAAATGGCATTTCGGTTCATTAGAATTAAGTTGAAACTTTGGCTTTGAGGCTCTGATTGGGTTATTTTGTATTGTTGGCTTATATCTGTCAAATCTGGAAAACACTGATTGGTGCAGGTCTGGTTTAATTTCCTATTAGTACAAAGCAGTAAAATACATTCATTTCTTGTACACTAATTTTCCAAATAGTGCACTGTTAACAATAGTACATAGTTTCTACTCAGTCATATTCATACACTGCACGATATGGAACTAGGACACAGTGCCATATTTCCACAAAAGCCAGACCCCTTTTATCTCCACAGAGCAAGTGTATGTCTCTGTGCGGGTACTGTATCTTAATCTTCTGTTGGTAAAACAGAAAGGACCAGTGACAACTTAAGTAGAAAATCTAAAGCCCTCTAAATCTCTAAAGTGCAACAGGAAACATCTTCGACAAAGTGTATTTGAAGCTGCCAACACAAAAATTCTATCTAGTATCTCATAGGAAAATCCCGTTACTAAAACATGGGCAATGGGTCCAGGAGTGGTGGTACTTGAGGGAGATTTGACGTCATGCAAAGCCAAGGGATAAAACAGCCTTTGATGTTATGCTAGTGAAGCGAAGAACCCCCCCCCCCCCCCCCCCCACTGGAACATGTCCAAAAAGTCTAGTCACTATGTGCGTGTGTGTGTGTGTATGTAATTATGATTGGTCAGGGGAGGAAAATAACGTCCTTGTAGGAAGATTCAATCCCCCACCACCAACAACCCAATCACAAACAAACACACACACCCTCTAATGGCCTAAATTGGCCATTCCACCGAGGTTTGCAACCCAAACGGACAAAAAGACAAGAGAGGGGCAGCTGTCTTCCATAGCATATGTTGACCACTTGTATGAAAGACTGGCTTACTTCTCTGTGTAAATGGAGACGGGCTTAACACTTTAGCTCATCTCAGCCCATCAGTAGCGCTAAGAAGATTCAGCCGCAGCTGAGGCTGCCAAGCATGCTGGTAAGTCTGAATGAGGCCTATTCAGTGTGCCAGAGGGAGGTATAAGGGGTTGTGTGTGTATGTGTACCTGTACGTTCTTGAGTATAATGGCTCTGTCTGTCTTTTTGTCAGTGTACAGTACTGATATATACAGATTTGCTCTGAGCTCAAAGAAATGCACTGGTTCCTCAGTCTGTACCCACTGTGCTGAATCGGGCTGTGTGTTTAGGATGTTGGAGTACACAAACCACAAAGCTTCGTGCCTGAGCGGCGAAAATGGCACTGGGCATCAAGACTGGTATTACCATGTCTAGAGAGGCTGAAACAAGAAGCAATAGACTTGTTTTATTTCCCCTCCGTCAGCGCATGAAAGATTTCTGAAGGATCAGTGGGGTTAGTGGTGCGGTGAGGAGGTGGGTCTGTGTTTTCCTTCTTTGTGTTTGTGCAGTTCAACAAATAATTGTCTTTGTGTGTGTGTGTGTGTGTGTGTGTGTTAAGTACACTCTTTTCAGGTCGCTTCATGTGGTGGCTCCCAATCCTCCGACACCCCATCTTGTAGTTAATGACTTTTTTTTTGTGTCTATCTTACCTGAGCTGTGGTTATGGGGATTTACCACTGATTTAGCATTTGTTTTGTCTATGAATAAACTAACACAATCTTGATGCGTTTTGAGGCAATAATCAGCCATTGTTCAGGCATCTTATGTCTAAGGTCTTTGATCGATGAAAAACTAACACCCACACACTGACTCTAAACCACTAATTTATTTAAACAGAATAATAGAGGGCATTTTATTTTATTTTTTTAACAAAAAGCAGTAAAACACAGACAAACACACATTACTATGCACACCAGTTAGAATAAAAAATTCGCGATTTTGCCCACATTTGACATTAAAGTCATAGTGGATACATATTTACAATTATATTTGTTATTGATTTCAACCATACTGACCAACTTTACTTTCTTTGCTGATGTTTTATTTTTTTTTTTAACTCAAGGGTGCGACCATACATGCATGCATGTCTGCCAGCCTGTCTGTGTTGGTCTCATTACCACTCCCCAGCCTGTCCCCACAAGGTCCCAAAGGGCTGCAGTCTATAGACACCCATCAGAGCAGAGGAAGAGGAAGTCCCCAGTATAAACACACAGTATTTTGAATTGGTTCAAACAGACAACACCAAATGCCTAAACAATCCTTGAGTGTTCCCAGGAAAGCCCCTCAGCTCCTGGTGCAGTAAAATTTTAGGATTTATTCTACAAACTTCCATAATTTTGAAGAGTTTATTTTGGGGCTTTCAGATTAAGTTTAAACAAAAGGATGATTGTGAGGGAGATTACCTGAAAAGGTTGCTGGGTTGGAAGGCCTGGGATAAGGTATGCACCTGAGCCAGCAGAATCCCTCAGGATACTACAAGAAATGTGTCTAATACACTCAATTTTCACACAAAAACACAATTTTCAGTTGATGTGGCTCCACTTGGTTGTTTTGCAAATAAAGTTGTTTAAATAACAATTAAACAAGTTTCTTACAAGAATCTCCCATGTCTCAAGAACATTGTTGGAGCATGATAAATTACCTTGACAATGAATGAATGTTCTTGAAACTATGGACATTTTTTTAGAAACTAGCAGAGAAACCTGCCTTGTTTTATGATACTCTCTTTTGTGTTAAGAAAATTCCACCCAACAGGTGAAACTGCACAGGTGAAACAAGTGACAAACAGGTCCTCACTCTACTGGCACTGCAAAGGCCTTAGAGAGGGCTTTCAGTCTAAAGTTAATACCAGTAACATCCTTGTTAAGGTTTTTACCGTGTAATGAAAACAATGTCTCTGCAGGCCAATGCAAAACAAGCCCTGGCAAGGTGATAACTGGGTTTTTGTGATTTCAGGAAAGTTGTGATTGAATTTTTGCTAATGCCATGGAGCCCTCTGGTATGTTTGAAGACCCAACATCGGCTGCTGTGAGCACTGGTTTAATCCCATTGCCACCCTGCCACAGTTCCAATTTACCTGTCAACATTTGTTGCTTCTGGCCTGCGGTCTCAGTTGGGAGACTGTAGTTATGCCAAAGCTCCAGGTAGACCCGCCAGGGAGAGCTCTATCTACTCCTTTGTGCCCAGGAGAGGCAGCAGGGGGAGGCGAGAGGTATGGGGAGAAACGCCTGCAGGAGGAAGAGGACAGACTGAGCCCAGCTGTTGGCTCATTTACCCACCCAGGTCTCCCTCGCTCTGTTTCTCCCTTTGGTTTCCTGCTCTTTCTACGAACATGTGTGTTGCAGTATCAGTGTGCTTGAGGGTACACACTGTCACACATGCTCACACGCACAAACACACACATAGTATCTCACCCTGTTTCTGTGCTGTCCCTCTCTCTGACAGGCGAACAAAGACCCGCTGTTTCTGACGGGGATGACCTTCCCTTCAGAGTATCCTGCCAGCCCGGAGACACTAGTCAAGCTGAGTGTGTATGATGCAAAGGACAAGAGCCAGGAATCAGTGAGTAAACAGTTGTTGTGTTTCTGTGTGTGTGTGTTGTATGTTCACATGTTGAAAATCCAGTGTGTGAGAGAGTGAGAGAGAGATAATGACGAGAATGTGCTCAAAGCCAGTCGTGAATCTTTTAAGTGTTGGATGTGCAGCACTGAGCTTTAAACTTTACAGCGGATGAACATGAAAAGCTGTGAAAAATCTGCAGCAGAATCTTGTTTAAGTTTATCCTACAGATTCTGAGGTGTACTGATTGATAGCAGGCAGTGAATTATGGCATCATGTTAGTCATCATTCTTTTAAGTCAGTCTTAGACCAAGACCTTTGCCTTGCGTTTTGACGGAAAAGGGTGGGGAGCCTTCGATGAGCATCTGAGCATGCCGTTCTTTGGTGTTGATCCCTTGGGAAAACCAGCCGGCATATCAGTGGGAATAGGGAAGGGAGCCAGACATAGAATCCTGAATGGGCTGGGCCCTCTGATACAGACATTTTAAACATACTTTTAAACATGCTCTTCAGTGTGGGTGTATGCATGATTTTGATCAAGCACCCCACGCAACCCTGGGTGTGTAGATCTTAATTTGGCATAACTTACTATGAAACATTCATGAGCTTTTTGATGAGTAAAGACTCCAATTATTTCAGTGGTTAGTATTTGCAAATGTCTAACATTACGGCCTCTAATTTTTGTACTTACAGTTTGACTGAATTTTTGTAGCTTGAAACAAATCTACTTGCACCGAGGTGGGTGGGTTTTGTTGCTTGTGTTCTGAAACTGTGTGCTGTGTGTGTTTTTCCACCTGCTTAGACAGTTTCTTATCCCTCTTCAAAAGTCTTCAACCTTTTTTTATGTAAGAGTTTTGTGTCCTCTACTTTGATATATTTTTTTCTCATTATACACATCTCCAAACACCATTTCCTCAGGATAATTGACATAATATTTTCATTCATTCAATGGGATTATTATGCAGTCACATAAACAACCCTGTAGGCTATGCAGTAAACATGCCAATTCCATTCTATTCTATTCTATTCTATTCTATTCTATTCTAACAGACTCAATATAAGCTTTTAATTACTTGGGTAAAAAAAACACATATAACTAATAGACCATAATACATGTAAACACAATTTATAGTCCTATATGTTAAGTAGCTGTAGCCTACCTGCACAGGTTCTGTCATCTAAAATAACTTTGCATACATTGTTTTGTGTGCACAGGAATTTCTGTCTCCTGAGACGTGAATTTACCCTAAAACTTCAGTTTACTCCCGTTTACTGGCCTGGTGTGGGAACACATTTTGACAAATAAACGCAGGTCTCCTGATGCCTGGTTTTTATAGTTCTATGGATGTATAAACCTCTTAAACCCTGTGGGTTTGCCCGCTTTTCAGGTGCTTAGATATATACAAATATTGATGTTTAAACTTATAATCAATGTGTCAATATGAACATGCCACACATCGTTAGATCGGTTAGATTCTCCACAATTCAATCAAAAGTGCTGACTCCCCTTACCTTTGAAGCACTCGTTAAGTCCAAATGTGTCAGTTCCTTGATTATTTATATTCCTTTAGTCTGTAAGCGTCCACCGATCAAAAGAATCAAAACTGCTTTTCATAAAAATTATTCCAAGTTGTGAATCCTGCCATGTGAAGTCCATCACTCTTTGTCTGCTAAATTCCGTCCCACTTCTCTCATCCTGCACCGTGTTGTTGGGTATGTTTGTTTTTGTAGCATTGCTACCTACAAAATAAAAGTGCACAAGCTTCCTGTCGTAGCTAGATCAGACAAATTAGTGTATTTGATATTATTTGATATAATATTTTTTATACAAGTAATATTCATACTGTTTCAGTTTTGTGCAAAAGTAATTAAAGGCCTGTCCCAAATATAGGCAGGGTCAATTCAGTGATTTTTTGTAAATAAAAGCAAATAAAAGCTATTAATCAAAGTTTTACGATAACTGAAGCAGGGACATTACCGTGTCTTGCATACATATTTGGTTTGCCGTATTGTAGTATTTGGGACAATGTATATTTGTGCCATTTGACTCTGCTCCTCTTGTCTCTTGGTAAAAAAGGGAAACAGGGGCACTGACTTGAGGCCAATGCAAACGCCACCTGCTGATAATATATTCAACCACTGTTCCCCCATTTTGCTGCTGTGCTTGCAACTAGTGTAAACAAATCAAAGGGCCAGGTGTTTAGATCATTCAAAAATCAAAAATCTTGTACTTTTTTTTAAAAACAACATAAAATGAAAATTCTCAGTTGTATATTACTTTTCAAAAATTAGTTGAAACATAAAATTTGTAGATCATTTTACTTTATTTTGAGTTGTATCATGTAGCACACCATTTTCTTTTATTTACATTTCTGTAGAATTACATTAACTTGTGTGCAAATCTGTATGGTCATTTACCTCTTTGAATTCAGCCTCGAAACATAATCCCAGATGAAATTTGCTTGAAATGGGAACACAATGGTTTATTCTAAGGTATGTATTGAATATTCATGTTGAACAATACCCATGTGAGCACAACACTGTATAAACTCTCCATTCGTTCCCTGCCGTCTTCCTAGGAGTATTTCTTGTGTTGTGCAGTGTGCTGCCACCAGAGGTTTTACTAAACAGAACACATGGTCAGGCAAGCTAATGCCTAGAGACAAAGATATTTTTTTGATGCCTGGTAAAATATTCACCGCCTAAATTCAGGTTTATAAGATTGCTATATAAAACAAAACGGGGACTTTTCCTACGTAGGTGCTCTCTAACAGTAATATAATGTACAGACAATGAATACTATACATTATTTTATCAACTTTAGAATTTGGGGTTTTGAACGTCTCTCTGTCTTTCACGCTGTCCCTCACTCTCTCTCTGACTGATGATTCTCATTAGCTCCTGCCACTCTGTCAATGTCACTGATACTCAACACAGCATTGGAACCAACAGCCTAACAGGACATTCAGTCATCTCCACACACCCCACTGCCTTCAAAGGAAAAGTTTTGAATGATGAGCTGCATCGCAACTTTTTGTAGCCATTTAAAAAAATGTCACAAAATCCCACTCTCCCTTTCTCTCAGTAGACCTCATGTAGTGGCCTTGCAATACTTGACGATCTTTATCTCTTTTTTTTTCTTCTCAGGCACCAATGCTCTCACACTGTGGGTTGGCTTTTAGATTTTCTGCTCTGCTCGACTGGGCACAGCGTGCTTGTCTGGGTCTCATTAGAGAGTCTTTAAGTGACACAGGCGTGACCCTGAACATGAGCTGGCACAATGCGTCAGCCCCCAGTCGCTTAAGCGGCAGATCGGGAATCACTCAGCTACCGCTCAGTCATTTAATGTTGCCTTTTTTTTTGAGAGGGAGAGAGAAAGAGTGAGCATGTAGTGGGGGGGGGGGCAATTTGCTGTGTTTGTGTGTGTTTTACAAATCAGCTGTCAAAAAGTTTACATATCACTTTCAGCTCCGGTAGCAGATGTTGAGCTGATTCAAGGCAATAGAAAGTAGACAGCACACATGGTAACACATGGATTATAGTTTTGTTTTACAACTTGACATATTTACAGTTTTGTCTGATATACCATGGTGTCTATTAACCATTAGAGTTTCGGAGTGGAAATAAGAAGGGAAGACATTGTAACAGTGAAGGGGCGGGAACTGATGGAGCGATGTTTATAGATGAGTGCTTTAACATTCGTGGAGGACTGGAAAATTTCATCGTAGAATGATTTCCCTCTGCCTAGGGCTTCCCATTTAGATATTCTATAATGACACTGGCTGCATGGTCATGAATATTTGAGAACATGCACAGGGCTGAGAGAACGATAAGTGAGGGAGATGGAGGTGTGAGAAGGAGTACGACAGGGTTAGATATATCTCAGGTGTAAGTGACCCCCCCCCCCCCCAAGCCCTAGTTGTCAAAGGATGACAGGCTAGCCTTACTTTGTCACTGATCTGTTACAGCACTTTGAATGGCTCCCAGGAGCAATAAATTCCCATTCAGCTCACATTCTGATCACTGAATCAAGAAATATTCACTTTGAGAAGTAGTATACTTCACAGAGATCACTTCATTTAAATCAATTTTATCATAGGCTCAGCCAAATCTTTGGGTTTAATGACTTAAACAAATACTATTCAAAGTATAACTAGTTAGCTGCATCTTGTCTCGAACACTGTTTAAATGAGGAACGAGATATAACCATCTCTGGCTGTAATGCTAGAATGCACAAAATGATAGTTACATTTTAAATACAGACTAAAGATTCATCTATGAAGCACCTTTTACCTGCATTTGAGGTTGGAGTGGAAGCATGCCACTCATTATCTCGAAAGAAATCTTCATCAGAAATCAGAGCAAGGCTCATCTGAGAGAGGTAAGATAAATGGAGAACCTTGAGTTAAAAGCAAATGAAAGAAGCAAATAAGATTATTTGTGGGTGTTGGGTGCATCAGGTTTGTGCTCACTTACCTCTGTGAAGAGGCTCTAAGACACCTGCTGATGACAGACCTATGGTTTGTTGTCAGTGTAAACCTATTACTGAGTGTTCTTGTGGTATAAATGGATAGGGCAGCTGCCTCTGGAAAAGCTCTTCTCTGTAATCACAGCCTCATTTATCTTGCCTTTGCTCTCTGCAATCTGGAATAAACGTGTAATGCGGTTTTCAGTTTGCATTCCTACTACCAGCCATGGTGAGGAATTTTGATTGCTTTCTGTGATGTGCACCGTAGTGTGACAAACAAAAGACCTCATCTACGTAAAAGAGGAAAATGGTGCATGTCCGCTCATTTCCATAAAGATGCCGTAAAATGTATTCCATCAAATAAAACACAAGCAGAGGGGTTTTTACTGTATTACTATAATGGCTATTTCTTCCTCTGGCCGCCACAAGCAGCTTGATGAACACACATAAACAACCACACACACACACTATCTGCACTAAAGGGATAGACCAAGATATCTTTGATTCAGAGGGCGATGGAGAAAGAGCTGATCAG